CTCCTGAGCGCGCTCCGTGCACGAGCTTCTATGCCGGGCGCGCGCCCCAGCTGCGTCATCAAGCTCTCTCCTTCCCGCCCAGTTCTCCTCTACAGTACGCGAAGGTCCCGGATGTACTGAGGAGGGGGCGGGAGGGTTGAAGCTGGCTGGGGATGCGGGTGACGTCACCCTGTAAATGGTGGTTGGACAGGTTGACAGTGTTGTCAATGAGCCATAGTGCGTGTTTGCTGCCTTCGCTCTGGGCTCGTTCAGTGAAGCCCTGGGGAGAGCAGTGAGAGAGTGCAATAAACTCACAGCGATCCATTCAGACTTAGTATTACTGTACTCAGAGCAGTCAAAGGTCTATAATGAATGGCAGCCATGTTCATTCACCCCAAAATCCAAGAGGGTCACCCCTATTTTTTTTTTTTTAACCCCTGTTTAAAAATGATGTACAGGGGGCGTGGCCTGGACATGGCGCCGAGCAGAAGCTAATCGCCAGAGCTCTGCAGAAATTACTTCAATAAACATAATATTCTCTGTCTTTCTTTAAGAGCTCATTCAGAAAAGCTAATGTAATTACTTATCTATAAAGGCAGAATCAATGTGTCATTAAGATCCTGCGCCCATCGCTGGAAGCATGTAACGTTTACATGTGTACAGCATGCACGCACCCTATTACCCAACGCCGCTGCTTCAGGCCGACATGTCAATATGAACAAAGTGTAGCCAACACTGCTGCCACCTCTGATTGCGCCCTATTGATGTTTACATGGTAGCCCTGAATGATTCATATGACGGCAGCGGCACACGCACGGGATGACCCCGGGCAGTCATTCACGAATTCATAAATGGCCGAAACGGCATTTGCTCTGCACATCAGTAGTGTGCAATCAGCGGCGCACACATCAATGGCTGCACATTGTTTACCTGTAGGCCCTGAGCAGTGGCGGCAGCCAATAGGCCAAAATGTTTACATGCGGACAGAGCGAATAAGGCTAAACTTTACGGCCCTGAATGCTGCTGTGCCCTATTTTATTTTTGTACAATATGCCTCCAGGTCTGGCTGTGTGAATGAGCCCATAGACTTACATGCTGCTGTGTACAGACGCGTACAAAACCATGCGCTGTATGCAGCATTCTAAACGCCATGCCGGTACTGTGTAAAGATTTATACAGACCCGAAAGCAGCAGTACTGTATGATACATGCCCGTTCACACAGCTGTGTTTGGGCCCGTTGCATTGAGCTGCACAAACTGAAACAAAATAAAATCTGTGTCCATCCAATTTTGACTATTTTATAGGGAATGCATGTAAGTGTTGTGTGTTTACATGAGGAACAAATACATGGACCACATGTGCCACTGCTTCTGCCTAATCATTCAGGGCCCGGGGGAGATGTCAACATAAACATGGTGTAGGCAGTGGTGGTGGCGCAAAATGACTTCAGCCTTCATTTAGTCAGAATGACTAAAGGCCAAGGTCATTCTGCACTGCAGCCGCTGTCTACACATTGTTGATGTTTACATCCCCCCGGCCCTGAATTACTCATTCACTAGGCAGTGGCGCAGATGCAGAATTAACTTGGCCTCCAGCCATTCTGAAAGTCTGAAGGCCAAAGTCATTCTGCCGCTGGCTACACATTGTTTATGTGTACATCTCCCCCCTGGCCCCATCATTCAAAGGGGTAACAGTAGCTCCTTTTAAGTATCCCAACCTGTTCTTCTGCCAAAAAAGACTCACAATTTGCCTCATTATTTTATATTTTTTCAAAGAAGGAAAAAAAAAATCTTCAGGATGTGCCTGCTCGTTTCTTTTATCCATTGCCCAATGGGCACCCCTGCTATGAGAGATGTCACCAGCACATCAGATTCCTTCAAGGATAATCAATCGTGAATTTATTGAAAATTCATGTCAAATACACAACCGCTTTCAGGGCCATGCAGGCCTGATGAAGGGGCCCTGCGTGGCCCCTGAAAGCGCTTGGGTATTTGACATGAGTTTTCAATAAATCCACGATTGATTATCCTTGAAGGAATCTAGTGTGCTGGTGACATCTCTCCTATACCATATGCAATTTGCAGCACCATCCGCAGCCATTCCAAGCACCCTTCCCCGAATACGGGGCTTTCCGATAAGGAGTGCAACAAATCTTCTTTATCGTACCCCTGCTATGAGGACGGTACAACTACAGGCATAATGCTGCCCCAAAAACAGTCATGGGATGCCTCCAATGCCCCCATCATGGCTTCCTCAGGTCAGTAAAGCGTACATAGTGGTAATGAAAATGTGACTCAAGAGTACCTTCCCTGTCCTAATGTCTAAAGTGACTGCCCATGTGTCAGCCAGCATTCTGTAACCTTATTATCAAAATCCGATAGCACTGATCATCATGACAGTTCTCCCTTCAATAACCAATCACTCATTGTCGGTGAAATGAATACCATCAGGTTATCATTATACAGGATTTATATAGCGCCAACAGTTTGTGCAGCGCTGTACAATATGAAGGAAAGCAGTACAGTTACAATATATTTGCAGACAAGATGGTTAGGAGGGCACTGCCCGTGAACGCTTACAATCTAAATAGGAAGAAGGGCATAGCAATAGTTATCACTAGGCACTAGAGTGGATAGCTTGTATGACAGCATACGTTCTAGCGTTTTTATGTTTAAAAATATATAATTGGGGTAAGTAAGCCCCATCCATTCTCCCCCATAAATTAGCTCTCCTGAAACTATCCCACTGAAATATGGACAGTTGAGAAATAAGTAACGGCAACCACATTATACCTTGTATCTAAAGTATCCAGCAAAAATGTTTTGTTTTTACATTTGGATGGAGTGGGAAACGAATGGAATGCCCGTGGCAGATTTGTACTGCTATCTGGGGCTCAGTTAGAGGTATCCACCCTCTAACCTACAGGTATCTCCACCTAAATAATAATGCCACAATAAAAAAAAGTCAGTTGCTCAGTGGTTAGCACTTCTGCATTGCAGTACTGGGGTCCATGGTTTGAATCCTGGTCATCACACTATCCGCATGGAGTTTGTGCTTGTGAAGGGTTTCTCCAGGTTTTCTCCAAAGACATACTGGTAGATTAATTGGTGTGCACACACCTGCAGAGACCTGCTGGGGGTAATTGCATGTTACCACCTGTACCTTACCATGTAAGGACATGGTTACACGCAGCCTGAATGTGCAGGTCCGAGTATCCTGCATTTGGACGCAGTGCAAGACGGCTGTAGGGAGGGGGGTACAGGCGGCTGCACGCAATCACATGCAGCACCTATCCCTCCCAGCTGCAGGTCTCTGGAGGGGTGTGCATACCCGTGTGAATGAGCCCTAAAAGTAAATCTGAAACTCAAACTTCTTTTTTTTTTACATTTTGAATAGGGAATGGCTAAAGCCCCCGTCAGTTTTTTATTTTTTTATTTTGCTATCTCCTTAGAGAGCTTTTCTTTTACTTCCTGGGTTGTAGACACAAGAGGTGAGGGGAGATCTCTCCAAAGTGAAGGAGATCACCCTCTTAGACAATTGTCATGGGAACAAGGGTCCTCATTGGAAGACTTCCCTTCTATATCTGTTCTAGCAACAACTTGAATATTTTGATCTTTTCTTTCACTTTCAGTCCCAGTGACATTGGTCAAAAGGACATATAGAAGCAGTGAGTCTCCCTTGCAGGGACACAGACAATAATAGCAACTTCCAAATGGGTTCTAACCCCTCAGCACAAAGTTTGGTTTGGATAAACTTAGAAGAAGGTCTTTGCGCTTATTGTGTTTATCATTATTGTAAGTTTAGCTATGTTTTAGGTTGTGGCAGGTTCATCCTTTTTTCCATGGCACCGACATTTCTTTTCGTAACCACTTTACCATAAGATTTATTATCATTTGCAGAACGCCTCTTGCTTTGGCAAAACCAGAGATCAGAGTAGCCTTTACCTAGATCCTTGCTACCTAAGGATCTCTTCTTGCATCCAGGTTCCCTCCAACTGTAAAGTTAAAGGAGTTTTAAAGTTCCAGCATATTCTATCTTGTCATGTCATCAGCATTGTAATAGGAACACATACTAGAGTTGTTTTTGATAATGTAATCAAAGCTTACTTGAAAAAAATCTCTTTTATGTAGTGAGCGCTGCCTTCCATCTGCCCATCACTTTCACCAACTTCCTGTATCCCCAGTGTGCTTTGCGTCTCTTTCCCTGCTCCAGCAAGCAATGATATTGTTACATTGTTCAGACGTTGAGTTGTAGTTCAGACGGCAGGCTCTGTGAGAATTATGACACAAGGAAGTACATATTCTCAGGGCTGAGTGAAATTGTGCATTGAGGAAGTACATCCATTGGGTATCTTCAATAAGTAAGTTTACAAACTTCTAGATCGATATGATAATTAGGAGTGGGATAGACCTTATGTTAATTCAATACAGAAATACAGATTTCTATTTACTTTTTGAGCATAGGCACCCT